CGATACCCACCGCTCTCTGCATTCTGCACCAATGCAGCATTCAAGGGCTCACCCACAACATGACATTGTTCCTGGGACTCTTCTCTTACGGCAGAGCACTCTGGACACAGTCCCTTGCAGACAAAACCTTAGTACCTTCAGAATGTCGCACACAGCTGTAAACACAAACGGAAGCAAAGAGCAGCACAGGTTAGCTTTTCCATGCAACACGTGTGCCACACGCACTCTTCCTCTGGCAAGCTTTCTCTTTCTTTCTGCCCTATATCCTTCTTAAAAGCTGTAATTCAGTACGGTTTTCCTTTTGAGTTCTAACCACTTCCTACTTCACTGAACCCTAGCCCCTCTGAGCAGTGCCATGGGGGTCGCACGGGCCACTCGATGCCATTTTGCATTCATCTTTTCCTTCCAGCGGTGTTCACTAGAGGCCCTCCTAGTGCCCTTATGACTGTGACAAAACCTGATTTTTTCCACTGCTGTCCGTGGTGCACTGGGCAGCTCCCCACGGACTCAGTTCTCATCGAAGGGAGCCTGGAACGACTGCCTGATGGAATGTCAAAAGCCTGCCCTACACTCCAGTTGCTTGCAAGTCGATCCACCAATCTGTCCATCGACTTTTAACTTTCCTTTTTGTCATCTCTAGCTCACAGATGAGTGACCTCAACACGTTTGCCAAAAGCTTTCATTGTAACCGACTTTGGGGAATACAGTCCTCACTTTGACACATACACTGCTACTTTCCATTTTCATAATACTTAAGCGTGCTTTTTCATCGCATCTCCACTTTTCCAGCAAGACAAAACAACAAACATTTATTGAATGCTTGCGAGATGCACAAACTATAGACTAGAATCCTGTACGTTCTCTTTTTTACACCACACACACACACACACACACACACACAGCCTTCGCAGCTTACTCGTGAAGAAACAGTCCCACGGTAGTCTAGACCTATCCAACGTCAGGTCACCCGACCTTTAAAACGCTACATGTGGGATCGGAAGCATGTCCGTTTGACCACAAACAAGCTCCCTTTCGGCCTCCTACAACCACGAGACCACACAGAGGTCTCCTTTGCACAGGGTTCTAGACAGAACACATACCGTTCTATTCACGAAAAAGCTTTAAAACTCTCAAGTCCCGTCAAAGGACTACTTACACATTCTTCACACGGGTGTTTCTGTCATGTATATACATACATCTATAATGGCTTGAGGAAACATGACAGAATTAACCTTACCAATCTTTCACTATTGCACTTATTTGACATACACTGAAAACACAGACAACTGGTTGGTCCCTAAAAATAGAAATCAGATGACACACACGGGCTGAGCAGGAAAAGGAGCATCTTCAGAACCGCAGCCAAGGAAGTTTCTGCTTCCCTCACATGGCTGCGTGCGCTCCCTCCGGGCCCTCCTCCTTGTCTGTAAAACTCTGGCCCAGAGCGGCTCCACTCCATTAAGCACAGGTTTCCATTCATCCAGGGTGCCTCGTACCAGGCCCACAGCACACTCCGTTCAGGTTATTCTCTTCCACTGTGGGCGGTCAGTAGGCACTCCGTCCACGCTCCCAGATGTACCAGGGAATCGATGCCTTGTGACACGGAAGCATCCTGAGATGCTCCTGGACGGTGTTTAGAGAACAACATGAAACCCTGTGGCCTCTTCCCAGAACCAGGGCAGGGGGAACGTTGGCCTGTTGGCTAAGCCTCTAGATAAACAGACGGTTGGCAACGTTCAGTACGCTTCCTTCAGGACAAACTTTAGATGGAGCTTTGAGTTTGAGCCTCACTACACTGACATTTATAACACACACGGTCATTCTACACAAATTGCTGTCATTTTACAATTAACTTTCAACTGTTATTCCTAACACAGAACAACAACAATGACAAAACATAGAACAATGTCGTTTCTAACCATGATACTAACCCAAACCATTTTAGTGACTTCGCTCTGAGTGACTTTCACCCCGTTGGACATCTACTCATGTTATTAGCTGCATTTATAAAAGATGACCTAGAGAAAGCTCACCAATGCTTCAAGTTCATTCCTCAATGCCATCTCTTCTAGAAAGCCAGGCAGACCAAGAAGACCTCAGACAGAGGGGATGGGGTGTTTATGTGCTTGCTCACATGCAGGAGGAAAAGCATACTGTAGAGTTCCAGGATCAGCACACTGCTGCCGCCCCATTTTTGACAGACACATCACAAGAGAAGGAACGGGTCAGTCTCCAAAAACTACTTTTAGAGACTTCTGAGGTACGCAAGGTTAGAAACTCTCATCGCACAGTTTTACAAACTCCTCAGTCACACGGTACAGTTTTGTCTCTAACGTTATCATGTAAGACGAAAATTCCTTATCAGGATGCAATATTGGAAGCCGCTGTATCATCTGTTAGGAAGTGTTTTAGGGTGGATTTTTCCTCCAGCATTAAAAAGATTACTATGATGTTGACAAATATGTCTTCATAAGCCAATGTGACAACATGTTGAGCATTCATGCCTAATGTAGTGGAGCCGCTCCGGGCCAGAGTTTTATCAGACAAGGAGGAGGGCCTGGAGGGAGCACACGGAGCCACGTGTGACAAAATGCTGAGCATTCATGAGTTTAAGTAGACGTATATCCACGGCACACATGCTTTCAACGGTTCTCTGGGTTTGAAAATTTTCAAAACATACATTAGGAAAACAGTCATTATCTTTAAACACTACACCTACACTGATGGTGGCAAGAAGTCTGCAACATGAACACTCGACCTAAAGCAGGAAAAGCAAGTCCACCTTTTCCATGTTGGCCTCCAGGACACATCTTGAGTGGGGAGGGCAGAACAGTCCTCACTGGTGGGACCCAAGTCCTGGAAAAAAGTCCTCATTGTCAAACTAGAAGGTCACATGAGGTCAGGTTTCTGCGTCACTCTTTTGTAAGTCGTAAGAAGCCATCATTTCAGTGAGGATGCCATGAGGAACCAGACATTCAAACACACTCACACCTCACAGGGACTGCGCGTTCGCTGCCAGACCGCCTCGAGAAGGCACATATTGCGATACAGCAAGTCAGATGAGTTTGCTGCTTTCCCAGTACATGTAAAAATTGTTTACACTGTTAACTGTGCAGTAGCATCGTGTCTAAAAAACTATGCAAATACGTTTATTTAAGAACACTCTTTGCTAAAAAATACTAACCATCTGACAACACACGGTTACCACCAACTCTCAATCTGTAAGAACTGCAACCTCTGTGAAGTGTCACTAAGCAAAGTAATAAAACGAGGTATGCCTGTAACATGTTTCCACTTACTAGAGACACGGTTAGAAATGTCATGGGACTTGATTCCATTTAGAAACATGCCTGAGGAATCTCCATACTGTTTTCCATCATGGCCACACCAACCAACATTCCCACCAGCACCGTAGGACGGTTCCCTCTTCTCCGCACCCTCTCCGGCATTGACCATTTATGGACTTCTGAATGATGGCCATGCTGGCTGGCCTGACGTCAGATCTCATCATAGTTTTCATTTCCATTTCGCTCATCATTACCAAAACTGAGCATTTCTCTGTGTGCCTATTGCCCATTTCTGTGTCTTCATGGGAGAATGGCTTCTGCCCATTTTTGCTTTTTGGGTTCGTTTCTTTCTTTCTTTCTTATTAAGTTGTATGAGCTGCTTCTATATTCTGTAAACTAAGCCCTTGGCAGTCACACCTTTTGCAAGTATTTTCTACCAGTCCGTAGGCTGTCTTTGTTACACTGATGTTTTTTTGGTTTCGTGCAGCCATTATGGTCAAACAAGATAGACATTCCTCCAAAGACTGAAAAATAGACTTACCGTATGGTCCGGCAGTCCCACTCCTGGGCATATATCCAGAGGTTACTCTACTTTGAAAAGACACGTGCACCCCAGTGTCCATAGCAGTACTATTTCCAGTAGTCGACATGTGGAACCCACCCCAATGTCCATCCACAGATTACTGGATAAAAAAGCTGCAGTATATTTATACAACGGAATACGACTGAGCCACAAAGAATAATAAAATAATGCCATTTGCGGCAACATGGACGGACCTACAGATCATCCTACTAAGTGAAGTCAGCCCGAAAAAGAATAATACCGTGTGATATCACTTCTATGTGCCCTTTAAAAAGCAGACACATGAACTTACTGACCAAACAGAAGCAGACTCACTCACAGACATAGGAAACAATCTAATGCTCGCTAGGGGGTAAAAAGGGCAGGAAGGGATCAATGGGAAGTTTGAGCTCTGCAGCTACTAATATACATACAACACATCAACAAGTTGATACTGTACAGCACCGGGGACTCTCTAATACTTTATAGTAACCTCTAATGAGAAAGAATACAAACACAAATGTATGTATGTATGTATATGTATGACTGAAACGTTGGGCTGTACACCAGAAACTGGCAACATTGTCAACTGACTCTACTTCAATAAAAAATAAATTCAAGACAATTTAAGGCGGAGAGATACCTGTACAATATCTTAAATTTAGAAGAAATAAAGATGTCCTAAGCATTAAAAAGTGGAGGAAGCCTCTTTTGGGGGTGATGGATAGATGCTACACTTTCTTGAACGTGGTGGAACATCATGGTGGTAATGACACAACTGTCCACTTGACAGAACTCATCAACTGTACACTTACAACGTGAACGTTACTGTATGTAATACTTGCATAAAGGTGATTATAGATACTGACAAATCCTAGGCAACTAAAAATGATCATCTAAGGGAAGCACAATCTCACCATCCTTTTTAAGAATACTTACCAAGAAACTATCTTACTCTTAATTTAGTATAAAAGAAGACTACAACATCATTGGAACCTATTTACAGAGCCTGTTTTAATGCTGGCTAGTATCTGCAGCCACAGTACGGTGTGAACGTGCTCTCGGTGGCGTGAGAGTCTAAGATAACTGCTTTCATGCTGCTTTGGCAGTCGTGATGGTTACCTTCTAACATGCCTCTCTTCCTTCTTTAGCCCTGGAATGAGACCAGACGTCAACTCTCCTCCATCCAGCTCTTCAGCGGCCACGGGACCACCTCCCAAACTCTGCCTGGTGTGCTCGGATGAAGCTTCGGGATGTCATTATGGGGTTCTGACTTGTGGAAGCTGTAAAGTATTCTTCAAAAGAGCAGTGGAAGGTAGTGTGTGTTTTGAAGAGTTTTGTTATTCCTCTATTGGGTTCCTGTTTCTCTGAGTGGATTTGGAAATGCATACTATATGCAAAGCCCATTAAGGCTAGAAATCAGTAAAACCAGGAAGAGGGCGCTGGCTCCTCAGTCCTCTCGTGGGAAAGAGAGACTTCAAACAGCAACGCAAAGCAGGAGGGAAGAGCTCAGTGGTGGAGCGCATGCCTGACAAGCACGCCATCTTGGCTTCCATTTCCACTACCTCCATTAGAAACCAAAAAGAAAGTTAAAAATAAATAAACCTAATTACATTCCCCACCCCCTAAAAAAAGGAAAAAAACCTTAGTTCAAAAGCAACATAGGCCAACTAGAATAAAATAGAAGAGTCTGAACTCAAGGGAGGGACCACAGTCAGAGAACAAAAGAGAACCGTAAGACGGCGCCATCACGTACGGTGACCGCGCTAGGCTTCGGCAGTAACGGCGCTCGTCGTATTACTGTCGCGGACTTCCATCCATCCCTGTAGACTGGCTGCTTCTAAAGCCGCCAGCTGTCCCACTCTGGCAAAAATGAGTGACAGTGAAAACCGTGAGGGGGGGAAAGGATTTGTTTCCGTTTCTCCCTAGTGAGCCATGGCAGTGCGCTAAGGAACGCCTAAATGCGGTGGTGGTTATACGATATTAGACCTGCTCCCGGCCCCCTGGGACGTCAAGTCAACTTGGAGGGAAAAGATGAGTTAACAATCACAAGCTACCGAGATGATAGCACAGGGGGCAAGTGATCAACTGCCTGAGGAGGTCAGGGAAGACGGTATTTTAGAGAAAGGGGTTTCACCCGACGATTGTTCTGTTCATAGCAGCGTGACCCTTGTGACAGTTTCAGTCTGCTTACAAAGGCAACTGCCCAAAGAAGGAAACGTTCATTTCCTAACTTATTGGAAACCCACTAACATTTTCCAATACCAGCAATTTCTCTGGGAAACAAACTTGCACCATTTAGTTGTTTGCAAAGCTTCAGAGGCAGTGTGGCCGGAATGAATTACCTACAGCTCTGATTATATGAGTTTTAAAGACATACCATTATCTATTCATTCACAGGATGAGAAGGACTACTACCACCAGTATTACTATTAGCCTTGACTTGTGTGTGCATGTCCCTAACAGTTCCACGAGTCATTTCCCTTTGCTTGGATGGCTTCTAATACATTAACACAGCATAAAATTGCCCACGTTACCCACATACAGCACAGGGATGCAGGCTTCGACCGCTTTGCTACATCCTCCAGCTACTGAGTAGACTAGACGGTCCTTCAGTAGAGCGCACCGCGAGCTCATGCGGTGCCACTAACACAGGAGTGGTATTTACCACAGACCCCAGGGAGAAGGAAGGTTCCTGTCCTTCCTTTACTCAGCACTTCTGAACTAGTTACTTATTTCCAGGATATCAATTCAGTGGTAGCAGCATTGCACTCTTCCCGTATATAGTAAAGAATACTGACAGACTGAATCCTGAGAGAGACATTCAGAATCAGACAATGGAGCCTTAAAACACTTACAGGTATTTGAAAAATGTTTTCCATTGCTCTTCATCTTCACTAAAACTGTTCTTTAACACCGGGCTACAGATTCCACTTCCATGGCCTACAGGAACCCCGTGTGTGTCACTGGCCAAATACAATACAACTGGAGGAAGGAGGGCAATCATTGCTACGGGAGTGCAGCCATGCCCTGCCTAGAAGCATCCACATGTCATTTACCAAGAAAAAAAGGCTAAACATCCCTCCCAAGTGAGACATCGCTGTGGGCCGTAGGCCCTCTGGGCTAAATCCCCGTTTGACAATCAAATTCTTAAGACTTGTTTTGAGGTAAAAATGTCATCGACTATTAAATGATACACATTTTGAAACAGTGCGGCTAAATGTCTCAGTCAAGTACGCTGGCTACGTGACATGATTACTAAGAAAAGGCTAAAATGGGGACTGAGTTAATTAAATCCTTAATTTGGATTTAAATTGTCTTCACACTCCTTCCAGCTCTAAAGTTTGGTCATCCTTCGCTAGCCTAACTCATAGTGCTTTTTCCACTTTTCCTTCCAAGTCACGATGCATATGTTTTAAGCCCAGATACCTATTTTGCAGCAGTCTCCAGTCGTGACAAAGGTGCTCGTTGTGTGATTTTTACAATACTACGTGCATTCCATTTTTAACACCTGCTAGAATTTACAGGTTATCCACCACATCAGTACAGCATCTATTAAATACCCAAACATTTAAATATTTTTAGGAAATCTGCACAAGTTTTACTAGTTATCCATACAACACAGATCAAGGATATGTTGAATTTTTATTCTTTATTCTGAGAGTTGCTTTCCTTTCACAGGAAAGAACTGTGGGTAGCTCCACTTCTTTTGATCTAAACTAGTTCAGTCACCTTTCCCCCCCACCCGAGTCCCTTTCTCCTTTGTCCCCTTTGCCCGTAAGGGCGCGCCATCGTCGTCGGTGGGTCGCGACGGAGATGGGCGTCGGCTGCCCTCTATTTCCCCTGTACCGGGTACCATATATGTGTATCGTATCACGTCATGAACAGCTCTGTGAACTCTTAGATGGTGTTATTATCCACATTTGCGTGTCCGGGAAACGGAACCTCACACAGCTTCAGTGGCAGACCTAGAACTCAAACATAGCTGTCTCCAAACACGCTCTTCACCACAGTGCTGCACTGCCTCCCAGGTGTGGCAGAAGTCTTGTCTCCTGGCAGTTTACAGTCTAGTTATATACTGAGATCAAAGCCCTAACGAGGGAATTACTTAATAGCTAGCACTCATCAAGAGCTTACGACGTGCTCGGCGCTATTTTTTAAGAACCTTCGACGCGACGGCCTTTAACCCTGGCAAAAGCTCAGCAACATCCGTGCTCATGCTCCAGCTTTACAGAGGTGGGGGGGACGGGCTCAGCAAAGTTAGTCAGCACTGCTGAAACCACACGGCTAGGAAACAGAGCTGCCACTGAGATCAGGGGCTCCCTGGCAGCTCACCGTGTACACGTTCCCCTCGTCGACACTGTTTTTGAGAGCAGTCGAGGAAGAAGCCCAAGCTGACAGCCCCAGTTCCCATTTAAAACTTGCACACTTCACACAGGGTCTGCAAACGGCACAGAGCCCTCGAACACGTCCTTTGCCACATTGCCCGTTTCCTGTAGCGCTTCCCTTATCTCGGTCGTGTCTGTGCATCAGTGTCCCATTACTTAACAGTCGCCTTGGACCGCTCTTTCAGTAACGTCAGTTTACTTACAACAGCAACAACTTGACTGTCCCTACTGGATTAGTTATTTATTCATAGGGAACAAATTATCCCCCAATTAGTAGCTTTCAACAGTAGACTTACTGTATCATACAGCTTAGGACAGTCAAGACTTTAGGAGCAGCTCATTAGCCGGGTACTCCTGAGGACTCCCA